TGATGACGACTTATAGTATGACGCATGCTCAATAAGGGACGCTATCGTATTTCCATCGTTTTAGCGTTTTGCGTTATTTTTGCATACAAATTTAGTAGGAGGGATGGCGAAAAGAACGGCTTGCTTGCACGCATTCCCCTCCTCCCTTCCCGGCCCTAGCGCGGTCTCGCCCCCGAATCCCTTCGCCTGTCACGCAGGCTAGCCCGCCAGTTATAGAAGTATCTACCTGTAAGCGACAAATACATCCAATCATGATCCGCCCTCTACTATAAGTCCCCCTGTAGCTTTTCTTGACTTCGATTTATGACCATTTATTATGACGTTTAGAAGCTTAATTAAAAGCCAGTAAATGCAAAACCTTTTTTGATCAACACTACTAAAGCTTGTTTCGAAGCGCTTTTCCCAATCCAGTTGAAAGCCCCCACAGATAATTAAGCCTTTTCGTTAACACGCCCTCCTAAAACCCCTTAAGAACAGTATTACAAAGATGTATAATCCCATGGCTTATACAAGCAGTTTACATAAGAGAGAATAACTCTTGGTTTAGGGTATTCCGAAGACAAAATTTGTTATTTTCACAGAGTTTCATTTTATTATCTCTAATGCAACCCTCGATTGAGAGGGGCGGAGGAACTCCCAATATCCTAAAGAACATTTCTTTTTACTACAAAGACTCATACTGTATTAAAATGCAAGCTGTAGAGCGTTTTCACATGACGTCACTTCCGTCACATTGGTGTCCCAAAACAATGAAACGGCAGCCATGTTGGTGTCCCAAACGAGTCCTGTTTTTTCCCTTTGTAAAGGCAAAAGCTTTCTTTTCATTCCAATATATTAGTCTTATTTGCACAGCCGCTGACCACTTGAGGTTATGTTCTCAATCACTCAGTCAAAACGCATATTTGGTTCTTTGATTGTTTTGTTGCCATTGATGTACGGGACGATCTCATAACGATGGCTGTGAAAAGTTCGAGCAGGCTTTTCGTATATCATATGTGGATACGCGATCCTGATGTAAATCACAGCGAAGAGAGTTACGAAAATACAGATCAGGTTCGACACCAGTGTCACCTCGACCAGGAATTGCGTTGCGTCTGAAGGAGTGGACTGCGCGAGCCTGGTAACTATAGTGCCAGCTACGGCCATCACTACGAGCATGCTAGAATTATGTACCACCATAATAGCTGCAAAAGACAACAGATCTTTTTAAGCTCAGTGTTTAACACAGGAAAACAAAATCCAGGTTAGGGTCCAGTTAGTAAGAGGTGGCGGTGGGAGGGATGGTAGCTGCTCAAGAAAATTTTATATTCGGTAATCTCGTACCCAGATCTCACTCTGTCTTACGGGTGAGAACTGCGCACGAGAGGTTATATTGAGTGGCTCTGTGCAGGGATACAACTGCTTACCCTTTTCTCTTTTACATGCCTGAAACCTGAAAAAGGTTCCTGGCTGGAGCCTCCCCGTAAAGGCCATTAAGGGGCGTACCCTCCCCTTCCCCCTCCCCCCGCCAATTCCCCGCCTGGGGTCTAGTACAACCAAAGTAAAGATAGTCAAAGCGTCTTTAATCGAGAGTTAGTACTTCGACTAGTAGAACTTGTCGGTTATAACAAAGCTAATGGGAAGAGGGAAAAGATGCGAGCTTCTCGTCCTTTCCTTTAGATGACACACTGATCGCAGGTTATATCAAACGATAAGGAATTAATGTTCGTCTTTCCTAAATTTTGTTCTCAAAATTCCACGAAGAGCTTCTTTAATCGGCCGGCTATATTCATTTTTCGGATGGTCTCTCGGTTATAGCACAAGAAGAAGTGTTTTCCATAACATAGGGCCTAAGAAATTCGACATTTAAGTTGGACATCGTCCCCCTAGTAATCAAATCGCGCTTTATGCAGTTTATGCACTGATTATATTTGAAAAACTGACGATAATAACCGATGGTGTAGCGTGTGCGCGCCTAGGAAATCTAGTCACCACTAATTTGTACTACTATTTTCTTTTTCTGTGATTTATTTCACAGAGAGCTTATTTGATTACATTCAGTACGTGGTAATACGTACAGATTTCCTGAAAAATTGACATAAGACTTAAAATTTTGATTCCGTAAGAAGGATTGTTTGAACCTTTAAGCCAAAAACTTCAGTAAATCGCTGTAATCTCAACTAATATACCTTGAGACTTTCGCAGCTGGTCGGTGGTGTTTGTTGAACCGCGATCAACATTAACTGTTCGTCCAACAAAGTGTCTTGATCTCACTTTTGGAAAATTTCTTGTCAAATACAGCTATTGAGTTTCTCTTTCCTTCTTGGGGAACGCAAGCGATTATCGCTACGATAGCAAGATTTTGCTTGGAGAACTCGAGTTACAAACTCAAAGACGAATTTTCCATTAATTTCGCCGACTGAATGACGTACCTTGCCCTAAAACATTGTGCAGGTCTTCATTGAAGGCAACAATGCCATTTTTCCGGAACTGTGAACAAAACGGAAAAAGAGTCTGCGAATATCCTCAAACGTTCACGTCGCTTAACAATGAAGTTCCATCTGTCTGGTGAACCTCATGATAATAGAGCTGTCTATCTATTTTAATGTGGGTTTGTAATGCTAGAATAATTCAGCGATTTTAATAGAAATGTATCGTAGATTTCTTAATGCGCTGAAAAAAGGAAAACAGTATTTGGGACTCTTGTAATATAATCAATCACGTTCATTTTATAACTTCAAGCGCACTGACGACCGAAATTGCACGATATTTAAGCAACAGACCACACTTTCTATGGGTTTACCGTCGTGATAAACCACTTGGGAAGTTGGGAGAACACCAGAAAAGCTTGTAAAGCTTGATATTATTGATTCAAAATATTTCGCCGTTTCTGATTGGCTCCAATCTCCCGGTTGATTCTTCATAACCAACTGGTGATTACCATATTTGGCAGACGCAAGCAATGTACCATCGATCAACCTAGTTTCCAGGCACGGCAGCCAAGCTGTTTATTCCTCAACCTCGCTGGATAACATTTTCTTCGATCTGCGTAATTTTTCATATCCTACTCAGCCTCGCTCAATAATTGCTAAATACTCTTTGAACGAGCTGGTTCAGAGCTAGAGAGAGAAATTAACCGGCCGGAATTTCTGTAATCAATTAAAACTTAGTATACGCTTTTTCTCGGTTATCATTATTTCAAAAGCAGCTATGGATGTTCCGAACACTGAATTTCGTTCCCAGCGTCATACTTTTCGTAGTATCACAGACGACAAATTACTGAATGGCCCCGAGAACGAGGCTAGAATAAAATAAGGCAAAAATAGGCGAGAGATTTATACGAACAAAACACTTTAATAAAACATTTTTTTAAAATGAACGATTAGAAAAATTATTACGGTACACTACCACTATGCATTGTACCAAAAACTCCCTCGGTTACTGAATATAATAGAAACATTTTAAGAAATACCTATTTACACGCTTTCTTTACTATTCCCCGCTTCCCCTCTTATATCAAATGATACTAAACCTATCACACAAAACTAGTTTGATCTCACGTACTGAGGTAACCCCATCATTGCAGAGTGTAAAACTAACTCTATAAACACTCAATTCAAACCATTTGTGCCTCATCTTGTGCTTTTATCTTCCCGGCTTTCATGTACGAGGCAAGTACACAAGCAAAAGCACGACTACAAGCACAAGATGATGGAAAGTTGCTTTTGTTTTTCTATGCCTATGGATGCGAGTCGCACCGGTTTACACGTAGTTTGCCTGCCAAAGCTTCAGTTGTTGGTGTCCATGCTCCTTGCTTTCGCTTCAATTTCAAATAGGCCGTTTCCGAATTGCTCAAAGCCTCTGTTTCAAAGCGAGGCTAAGTGCGAAGCCGTTGATACGAAATGATTTTGTATTCTCCTGCAAATAAAACTCATTATCACTAAGCCTCGCTTAGTGAGGGTTTTGGAACTCGAAATTGACCAAATGCTATAGAGCAAGATAACTTACATCAGTGCTGATCGCAGACTTTGATGTATTATTAAATAACTGTTTTGTTAATCAATTTAATGATCTGTTTGTTTTCATTTTAGTTATATAAATGACTCATTGCCAGTTTGAATTGGCTTAGAATGATTATTTGAATAAAGCTTTGCAGTTATCTTTTAAGTACAAAAGCCTATCCAAATAATTATAATTCTCATGTTTTGAAAATAAAAACAATCTAGTAAACCTTCACAGAATCTAAGATAAGGAAAGACGAGTACTTTCCCATATATGATCGGACGCTGCATGCAGTTAAGCGGACTCCGATAATCCGATTTTTATCTCTACTGGGAATATCTCCAGCAATCCTAATTTTCTGTGACTATATACATTTGTACACACATTTCAACTCAGTTGTAACGTCGAATCAAAGTTTCCCGCGGATGTTTTAGTGAATTATTGTTGCCATCCCAAACTTTTATCTCGCAACATTTAATACTTGATACCTGACAGCGTTAGTTTAGTGAAAAGTTTGGAACAGATTCTGTAAACCGTTTGATGAGGCATCCACAAGCTAAAAACCTCTGGTACAATTATCAAGGTAACCTCCAGCAACACGTTTTGTTTACAATTTCATGTTTGGCTGTGGTATTCCAAGTCCTTTAAACGACCATCAAGTAGTCTGTTGCATGAATTGGATTTCTGTTATCACAACGCCCTCCCTACGCAAGTCCTTCTCAAATCTGATGAAGGAAATAGAAAACGTTTGGGCCAAACATGCGAGCAACTTTAAATCAACAAATTACTTTATAGTTACTGCTATCTTGATTATAATCATTCACCAAAAACAGGTCTCGAAGATCTTTTTCTAGAAAAGATATAGCTAAAGAGGGTAAACCTTCAGTAATATCAACAGCCCAATTGGTCACCGTACGCCAAGTAAAAAATAGATAGTAGTAATAACGTTTGTGTCTACAACACGAACATGGATTGATACAATCCATATTGTCCTTATTCCTTGCACAAGAAAAGGATTATCAGATCTCGAGAATGAATTGTCTTCTTCTGGTTACACCCTGGGCATCTGCACTGTTTCTTGGAGGCGTCAAATCAATAGGCTTTTGCTGAGCAATAAGGACTTTATCAGGTTCTTCAATCTGATCAAAATTCCTGTATTCTACTGCAGGGGATCCTGAATCCAAGCTAACAGTCCCATCCAGATCCTGTTGATCTGGTAATTCCGATAACACCACTCTTCTGAGCTTTCTATTGGTCCTTTCTCGAAGTTTAGGGCTTTCCAGAAGGTCTTTAAGAGAGAACTTTTCACAATGAACTCCCGAGAAAAAGGTTGGGCATCTACAGGTTTTTCCCTCCAGACACCTTCCACCATTTTGACATCTTGGTAGACAAGTAGCTGCAAAACAAAATTTCCTGAGTCGTATGTTTTGGTTTGCAAATAATGACGATCCTAACTACTCTTGAAAAAAACAAGAATTCTCTTTTACCCAAGATTGTGACTGCAAAAGGGCACCCAACAATTTTTTTCTGTAAGATAAATTTTCGTCGGAGCAAATATTGCGTAGAAAATTCTACGCTCGAGAAAAGCCTAAAACATTTCTGAAAAACTGTTCCATTCGTTCATGAAAAGATATTCGGAGTTTTCCTACGACAGAAACTTACGTACTATTATCGGAGATTTTGTTTTTCACATTTTCACTGAAAATACACTTCTGACGTAGTTAACGTTCGGTAGTTGGGTACCCCTGACAGTAGCGTAGCTAGAATTTTCCAGAGGTATGCAAGTAGTATAGGATGCACCGAGTTTTGCCCTTTTTTACGAGGGAATTTCATTGTCTTGTGGGGGAATACATTACCACCGATGACGTCATAACCTTTTTTTCTCATGAATAAAATGCAGTGGATTCTCACTATCTTCCCTATTGTGTATTTCTAATACAATAGAGCGTTTTCACTCACGCGGCCAGCATCTATACTAATTTATTGGAACAAAAGAAGGCAATTTACATGAGAAAAGAGTTAAACTCCCAGAGGATTGTCTTGGTACACCAATATGGCCGCAGTTTTACTGTTTTGGAACACCAATTTGGCCGCCTTGACGTCATGTGAAAACGCTCTATAGAACAAACGACCTCCCTAGGCTTATACCCGAACCGAAAGTTAGAGTATGAAGTCTATGAATTATTCCTTGGAAGGAATGACCGCCAGGAATCAGGGAACCTGAACTCGAACAATTTGTTGTGCAATGAAAGCGGCAGGAACTAGAACTTGGATAATTACGTTACGACTTAGTGATTTTTAAAGTTAGCGCCGGTTCCTTCCTTAAAATAATTCACACTCTTACCTCCGGTTCGGGTATAAGCCCAGGCAGGTCGTTTGTTTCTATTGTATTAGAAATAGACAAAATGGGAGATGAGGAGAATCCACCACATTTCATCCATGAGATAAAGGAAAAAAGTTATGTCGTCATCGGCAGTAACGTGTTTCCCGTAAGATAATGATATCCCCCGCAAAAAAGGGGTTAATTTGGTGTGTTCTATACTACTTACGCACTGTCTGCCTAATCGTCTTCCCGCGGACGACTATTATATTTTCGTTCCTTGCACCGTTGTTCCTCTCTTCGTTTTTACCTTCTGCACTTTGTTTTGTTCCACTATTTTCTATTTGTCTTAGACATTTTTTCAGATACGTACGTGCGTATCGGCATACAGATAGCTTCGCCCCTGGTTAACATGTTATACTGACCTTCTGTTGACAGCTCGTCTGCTCGATTGTTTGGAACGATAATGTTCACAACAGGTCTCACTATTGCCTGAGCCTGAGAGCTGGGTGAAGCTGATGGAGCAAGTGGTACAGTCACATGTGTACTGTCCTCTAACCTCTTTTCTGAGCGGATATCGTCTGAAATGGGATTTTTTAATAACCATTTGTTTTTCTAATACAACTACAAGGGGGGATATGGGCTTTTGTTGCATTCCATACAAATCCTTGTAAATTTCGAAACTTTCAAAATGTAGTAAAATATTTCCTTAAGCATAACGGAGCCAAAATTTTCTTTTTTCATAACAGAAAATTTGAACTCTTTACAAGGACCACTTAACAGTGGCTGGGTGGCAAGAGTTGTCTTTCTCATACAAATCCTTTTACGTTTCGGCGGCCGTTGCACACATCTCTACTTTTTGGATATAAGGCTGAAAATTAACAGGTCACCTAATTTTCACATGCTCTTTCAGTTCCTGCTAACAAAATTCCCAAAAGTGAACTGTTTTCGTGTTTAATGAAAGTTGATCATGTGACCAACTGTTGCAAAAGGCCTATTGCACCATGGGACTATTTTGAGGACGGTATTACTTCTTTCATTGCGAAAGAGTCTAGTTTAAAGTTTGACCCAAAACAATCCCATAGTAAAATTTGATGCATCGTGAGCACGTGATCGTTGACGGTGTGTTATTGTAACCTCACCTTCCATCTCTTTATTATCGTCAATTTCCTGTATGGACGCTGGATAGGTGCTTACACCCCTCCCTTCTGCGGAACGCAGTGAGGAAATTGGTATGACAATCTTCTGAGGGCCATTCTGAGGCGCGACTGTTTGTGGTGGTGCACTCACTTCTTTTGTTATGTAAACAGTTGTTTGTTGCTGATTGTTTATTGGATGTTTATGTTGAAGCTTGACCACATTTGAGGGAGGAACAAGGGTTGGAGTTGTTGGTATGGGATGATCTAAAACCGGAAGTGACAGATTCATTACAATAACAATAACCAAGGATAAGAAATGAACACGGATTCACTTATAGCCAATCTGGTTATGTTCAAAAGTTAAACTATGCAATATTCACAAACTCAAAAAAAAGGGGCACACATACATCAAGCCACGGCCTGGCCAGTGCCTCAGGCAGTTGCGCAGGTTAATATGGCTGTACGCATGCACAAGGTACTGTCCACACCGAGGACTGTGTGCTTCAGTGATGCACTTTGTCTTGCATGCAATGATGGCTGGTAATACACTTTGCATGAGATGGCTCCTGACAGGTTGATAAAAATTTAGACGCTGAAAAGATTTGTTTTTTATAGATCCTCTCACCCAGTATATCCCAGTAAACAAACAAGTACGAGCCAAAGAAAATTAACAAACAGTTACTAGACAACATGAACCCTTCACTAAGGTTAAAAAATGGAATTAAAATATGAAGGAAATGAAAGAAAACTCTTCTGTAATTCAGACCTGTATTCTGCTCAACATCCAGAATTCTTCTTGCCAATCCTGCCATCGCCGTCTCTAGAACAGTAACCTTGTCTTCAAGCCGCACGACTTTTTTCTCCAAGCCATGAATTCTCCTATTATCCGAGTGTACAGAAATAAGGCTTGGCCCTTTGGGCCCTAAAAAGACAGAAGCCGACATGGCATTCAAGACAGGTATTTAGACAAGACAAGAATTCTTATTTATACCACAAACAGAGAAAAAGACCTTTAAGAAAAGACAATACTACTTATGTAAGTTACAAGCCACCTTTAGAAAATAGCTAAAAAGCTTATCTAGCTAGGAGGCATTATAGATTAATTAAGAGTATTAAAGAGGTTTTTTTTATTGAAGTCAGAAGTAGAAAACAGTGTTAAAAAATGACAAACAAACAAACAAAAAATAAAATAAAATTTTATAAAAGGCACATGAACAGACCTGAATCACTGAAAAATTTAAGAACTGGAGAAAATATTGGAAAAGAAAGAACTTAATATGAACTGAAAATAGCCTTTTTCAAAGACTGTTTAAACAAGATTTCTCCTCGAGCAAAGGGGATGATAAAATGGCAAAAATCAGGCACAAATAGACGAAAAATTAAAAAAAAGGAAACGGGACAAAACAACTGAAGGGCAAATAAAGGAAAAACACGTTCACTAGGTCGAAACCGGAGTTGGAGGTCAGAGAAACACGTCCACCCCCAAGAACTGCTCATTTGCTCCAATTCATCCTTAAACTTCAGTATGGCAAACAGGACTACTGGCACCAAGAGAACAGAGATTAAATTTTCGCGATTTGAACCGGTGAGCAAAAAATAGCTAGTTCGCACTGCTAAAATGTGGTCTCTGCTCGCAGAATAAAGAACTAGAGAGAACTTACAGGTGTAACTTTTGTCTGAATTTGCTCAACGAAAGGGAATCCAAGATAGTATTGAATTATGGATTCCACGCCGTGGATTCCGGATTCCAAATCCCGGGATTTCGGATTCCACGGGCAAAAATTTCCGGAATTCGGGAATGTCTGTTCCCTTACAAGGGGCGGTTGAATGGTCACTTTCGAGATACACTCACCATACTGTTTCTACCTACTTATGGCAAGGACATGTGCCTAAACCAGGATCATATAATATTATTTTTCTTTTTGTCTAATCGATATTGTTCCCTGTTGGAGTTACATTTTCACTTAGGGTTTAGAAGATCCGGGGAGCCTTACATAAGCCTAAAGGAATAAACATCTATAATAGTCATACCATGTCTTAGTTTTTTTTGATTATCCTCTCTGGCTTCCTGAATGGTGAATGGTCACTTTCACATCCACAATATATTTCACCTACTTATGGCAACCCCCCCCTTGAGCAAATTTTGTGCTCACTATTACTTTTATTTGTAAAGAAATTTTTCAGAATTACCTTGCACTATCTCCTTGATGCTGTAAGCGTTGTCATCGTTTGATGTTGTCAGAAGTGACGTGGGAGGAGTTCGAGAGGTTAGCACATCAACTGTCAGCAGAAATTAACAAAAAAGTGTCGATTATATGAAAAAGATGAAACATATCCTTTGTGGTCCCCTCTAATAATTCTTTAATCTTTGTTTATCACCCAGAGATATAAAAGAAATAGGATTCACCCTTTCGATAACACGTTTCTTATTTTTTCGACTTTTTGTTTAAAACCAGAATATATGGTTAACAGTAAATATACTTATCGTGCCTTTTACTACAATATTTCAAAGCTTTTACCTTGTTGAGATTTTGGATGTGCTTTATCCTCATGTGTTTGGTTTTGAGGCTTTGTTTCTGTCGATGACACACCGACTTCCTTTTTTGTCTCATTTAGGCTTTCCTTTCTTTCAATGTCTGAAAACACAAAGAGAGGCAGTTTTGTTTTTAAATGCTTTTTGACATTGACGAAATGTTGGAAAAACAACGTTGTGGTATAATGATTGTCACATGGCATGTGACGTGGTCAAAAATTTAAAAAAGGAAATTGGTGGCGAAAATGCCCTATTTGGATAAATATAGTGGATAAACATACTTTATTTTCTACTTTTGGGATCTAAAATTAAGGTTTTGAATGATTTAAGACTACACTGGGGTACTTAAAATGATGTTTTCTCTCATAAAATTTTATTGATTTGCAGTAGACACTCATTCCAAACGTGAAGTGTTCGAAATACCTAATATGAATTAGAAAAATGTTCTTCTTAGTACTTGCTTCCATGCTCCAAAACCCGTCTCAGGAAAATGGCGACGTGACATATCACGTGACTTAGCAACACAATAGTAATACTTTTTATGTTAAGGACGATGAGTTCTTTATGTGTGCCAAATTTCGATCCAGTTCCATTTTTGGACAAAATGATAGCCAAAAAACTATTTTTTATACCCACTGGATCCAGGATTTAAGCCACTTGAGTAGAAAATGAAGCACACTAAAGGAAAGCACGTAGTAACGTTTCCTCTAGCAAAAGTTTGCGTCAAAACGTAGAGCCTAAACCAATGTTAAAAACGGAATTTCCACTAAGTATTGTCATGTTGTATAAGGAAGAAAACCTTTTCGAAAGCGGGTTTTTGTTTCCCACTTTCTAAATAATTCAAGTTTTCTTCTCACGCCTGTAAAACTGCAAAGGGTGTCTTGAATCATGGTGTGCGAGGCACACGATAGAGCAAGGCCATCTTTGGAATGTTGTGACAAATATAATACACATCTAGTAAATTCAACGTGAATAAAGAAGATTTAGTAGGCAGGGCCTGAAAACCAGTTACAAAGTCCTGCCTAATTGTTCTGAAATTTCAAGCTGCAATTAGTACCATTTCCTGCATTCAGTTTCGTCACCCTCATTTATATTTCCTGTAAAGTACCCTAAAAACAAACAATAGTCAAAAGCAAAAGAGGACTTAAATACCTTCACTTGAATGTTCAGTGCTGTGGCGTCTGGATTCATCATTGCTATCGGGGCTTGATTTTTTGTCTGGTATTCTGGATGTCACCTTAATTTGAATTGCCAGCTTGTTAGATTTACCTTGAGATAAAAGTCCATTATTTGTCTTAACTAACTTTTCTGCTTTAGGGGAAATCCTCTCCGGTTCATTCTGTGCTTTCTGTGGTGGACTAGCAGTCAAAACCTCTTTTGACTGATGTGTCACCTCGCCATGTTTCTTATCTGTCAGCAGACCTTCCTCGGGATCTTTCTCCAGGCTACTCACCTTTCTCTGAATTGTCCCTAGTTTGTTTTTTCTAGTCACGGTTCTTTCCTGATCATTTATTTTGCGACTTTGAGAATTGTGAATTGCGACGATTTCACCATATGGTATTCCACTTTTTCTTTCTCTTTTTTTAACGCCTTTTGACTGACGTGTCATGTGACGTTCTTTTTTAGACGCCAAAGTTTTTGTTGGATCAAAACGCACGATGCTTTTAGAGCCTTGGAGCTTATTCTTGGCTTTGTCTTTAGTCAAGGCACTACCTTGATCGTTAGCGGTGGGATTTTCTGGTTTCTCTGTTGTGGCACTTACTCCATGTGGCATATCATATCCACTTCCTGAATCATGCACTGTGTCATGTTCTTTATCAAGTTGCGTATTACTCCCTATAAGTCCTGGCACTCGCTTAGCATCAATTTCTTGAGTATGAGTTTCCTTTCTTTCTGCCACTTTGTCATTCTTGGTCTCTTTTTCAACCCCTGAATTAGTCTTACTATTTCTACTTGAATCAGCGGGGGACGTTTTCTTATCCCTTTTTGTGCTTTTGAGTGCGTGCTCAAATGGATCACCACTTTTGGAAGAATGAGAACCCTTTTCTCCATCGACTTCAACATCAGTTGACAAAGAGTTACGAACTGAAGAACTTTTGCTCCTCGCCGTTAAATTCCTTGAAGGAACGTCAAGGGCACTTCTTGTAACTGAGGAAGTCTTTGTTTTCTGGGATTCTTGTATGTCTGAAGTAAAGAAATAAGCATTATATAAGTGCCACTTCCTTGGTAGCCTTTAAAAGAATCCTCAAACAAGTCAAGCGAGGACATGTATCTAAACTAGGATCATATATATTATTTTTCTTTTTGTCCCATAATTATCGATATTATTCCCTGTTGGAGTTACATTTTCATTTAGGGTTTAGAAGATACGGGGAGCCTTACATAAGCCTAAATAAATAAAAATCTATCATATTCATACCATTTCTTAGTTTTTCTTGATTATCCTCTTTGACTCGCTGTGAACTATGATTTTCCTTATGTTCCTGTGTATGAAGAACTAAAGCACTATTAGCTTTACCAGTCACTGTTTGAGAACGATTTAAGTGTTTCGCCTTTGGGGCGTCCTCTTGAAACCCCTTCTGTGACCTTTCCTCTGTTGTAACATCCACCTTATCGTTTTGTGGTATTGTGTTTGAATCAGTTACGTTTCTTCCATTATCCGAGACTTTCATGAAGTCTTCTTGAGCTACGTTGGGAGTCCTTTTCTTTGATAAAACATCCTCCTCCTCATTTTGTAGTTCTGCGTTTGAAGAGTCAACTGTTAAGTTCATTCGATTATCCAGGACTTTTCCTTTTTGCTCGAATTTTGACTTAGCATTTACCACACCTTTATCCAACATATTTGTTGAATTTCCAAGAACTTTATTTTTCATTTTATCATGTATATTCATTGTGTTACGAGAACCACCAGCTTGCTTTTTATTTGAATCTCCTTCACTGGGGACATTACTGACGTTTCTTGTAGCATAGGATTCAATCTTATTGTTCCTATCGAAGTTATCTGCAAGACTGGTATTACTACTGGTAGTTGTCCTTGCTTCATTGAAAGAAGAATTTGATTGTTGTGTATCCTTTGTTCTATACGTCCCTGTAAATATATTCTCAGCCTTGGCCGGGTTAGGAGCAAAGTTCTCCAAAGTTCTGTTTCCAATGTGCTCTTTGACCCTAGGAGTGTCAATATCACTTTCTGATCTATTTCCAATAGCATTATCATGAAAGCTCAAAGCTACCTTGTCCAGTGGATTTTTTTCTCTGCTAATATTTGTAGTCAAATGTGATGGTTTCGACAATTCGGCTGCACTTCCTGTAGAATCAGGTTTTGATTTCGATTTGTTTTGTGCAAACAATTTAAGAACATTTGTTTGTATTTTTGAAGCATCCAATAGAGAACTGGAATTTGTAGGGGAAGGTGTTATGTTCTCTAAAGTTTTGTTATCAAAGCGCTTTTCAGCAAATAGAGGGCCAGTATCACTGTCTGAGCCATTTCGTACTACTCCACTGTCATTTCTAGTCAAATACAATGATTTTGATAGTTCTGCTGACTTTCCTTTGGAGTCAGTTAATGGCTTCGTTTCATTTTGCACAAATAATGGAGGCCTCTTCTCTGTTCTAGTAGTATTGGTCTGAAAAATGTCTCTGTTATTTTGGTCTAACTGTGACGCTTCACCTTTTATCAAAAAGTTAATTTTCACTTTTTCCGACACACTTGATTTCTTGGTTGGGTTTTTTGTCGGTTTTGCTTCCTCCATCTCTATTTTTCCAAGAGTTGCAGTCATTTTCGCTGGCGAATTGTTTGTGTCACTATTGCGAGTTTCTTTAGAATCATGTCCTTTAATTGTGTCGGTATGTTTAACATGTGATGTTTCCTTTCCTTGGGTATCTGGGTTTTGCGATATAAAGCTGTTATTATGCAACTTTTGTTTGTCGTTTACGGTTCTCGGACTATCAGCTTGTTTTCCCTGTATATGACTCTTTTCACTAATTTGTGAGACATTCCCCGCTGCTTCTGTAGCACCCATGACCTTCACTCTCCTTCCTGTTTCACGGTTCCTTCCCACTTGGTTTTCAAAGTTGCCAGAGGAGACATTTTTGATGTTCTTGTGATATCTAGACTCCAGAGGCTTTTGCATTTCTAGAGGATATCGTTTCCCCCATTTAGTTCTCGATCCGACGTTGGACATGTGATAAGAGCTTCCATTAAAAGTTTTAGAACTATTTTCACCCCTATCAATTTCAGCCGTGTTTGCGCCGCTCGACGTGTTGCTCGTAGATGAAGTGTTTGCACTTTTTCTCTTAAACGACACCTTTACCTTCTCGGTCGTAGCTTTTTCATCTGAAAACGTACGAAAAAAATTGTAAATAAATGACTCTTTTCTATAGTATGCGATAGAAAAAAGCCCAAACGCAAGCATTGTGAAGTATTAACCGCAAAATGGTAGTGTTATACCCATCGTAACCTCTAGAATTGCTGTATCGCACGACTGCCACAACGCACACCTATGTAAACGCTATTTAATTTGGGCAATTAGATTTGAGAAAATTATCATAAGACTCATCATTTCAACCTGAAGTAAATGAAATTATATTTTGCTCTTTATTGTGATTGGTTACAGAATTTTTTTTCCTGTGCGAGATACTCGTCCTGCTGGGACCAATAAGTATAAAGTTAACAAGTGCAGTCGGAGGTGGCTGGGGGGCTTAACCCCTTCGGTAGCCATTTGCCTTGTCAAGCTTTGGACAAAATTTCATCCTTTTATAACCGAAATGCGCTGTTTTTGGAGATGAAGATTGCCAGACGAGGCGAAAAGTAAAACTCACGTTTGTTAGAAGGCCATGGTTGTTCCTCCTTGGGAATGGTTTTAATAAAATTAATGCTCACTTTTTCCTGTGGGATACCTAAAAATATAAATTATATGTTACCATATTGGGTAAAGTCCCATAAGGCGTACTGAGGAGTAACATAAAACATAATTCACTTTCTCAATTCATAATTCAGTGACAATGGCGCAAAGTTAATTTATGTTGCTAAAAGGAAGACTACAATCTAGAAGGTGGAAACCATGTCCCTATTATGGCCTATTCGGGGATGCTGGTGCCGAAAGGGGGTACCTTTTCAGGCTTCAGGTATATGGACAGGTAGGTAATACAGTGGTTGAACAATATGAAAGGATAGGGAAATCTGTCATTTCGGTTTGTAAAAAGTCCCAAAAGGGACTAACACGTGAAATTTATGGCTGTGATAAAGTCGAAAAAGCGGTCAGGTTTTGTGATTTATTTATATGTTAAATACAGTGCATCTACAGCAGTTAAAAAAGGGGTACAAACGACTGGGAAAGGGGTGCCATTAGTCAATAGAAGGTATACTACAGGTATAGGTATACTAAGGGTGTCAAACATGTTATATAAAAGGCTAAGGGGCTGGACCTTGGGGCGGAGTCTCCCCGAACAAAACTTTGTTAAGTACCCACCGGGGCAGATAGATTTTATATCCAGGTAGGTAAAGTGGTTTTTTCTCAACTTAACCCTTTATCTCCAGAAGGGATTGTCATGTAGATTTTCCTTAAATATATGCATTGTTCAGCAGACATATGATGAGAATAGCCGAATGCATCAAACAGCGAGAGAATTTTATCTTCATATAACCCGAAATTCTCTTAACTAGTGACCATGAAAGCGTACAGCAGCCAGAAACGAGAATTTCTAAACGGACCTTGGGAGTTATGGGGTTAAGAAAGTTGTTTTGACTTACCTGTATTATTGCTGAGAAAATCTTCTACCTTTCGTTTTATTGTTCTACCTGTGTTGTTCATCAAGTTATCTACTATTGAGTGCATCACTACTTTGGCACCTGTGCAAGAAAAAAAAACGGTAAACAGATGCCACGTTTAAATCATCGCTGCCAAACTGTCGAGACGTCTCTTTTGTTGTATTAAGTGGGTTTTTGTAAAATTGTAGAGAAAAAATTCCAGGACGATAAAACAGTTACTGTTAGTTAACGTAAGTATCTTTCTGTATTTCTCGAACTATAATGAGCTTCTTTTCTTTTGAAAACGCCTCACATCAAAACGAAATTATTTTAACGAATCAAAAATTCAAACGTTCATGTACAATACAACATGTTTGTTGTGAACTTAACCCTCACGGTCAATATTCCCAGCATTTCTGAACATTATTGCCTGCATAATAGTCTGGTAAAGTATTTGAAACGTTCTGATTGGTTTTGAAGTGTTTTTAAGGTATTCACCTGGGGATAAGCTAAGTAATTGCTTCCACTTAAAGTTGATAAACGTGACGAAAACCCAACGTACCTTTTGCTTTCCAAACTCTCCATATTCTATGCATAACGGAAATCCAAAGGCCGCTTAGTTGTTCAAACGTTTTGAAAGCAACGCCTAGTGTTTCAGGTCCTACGTTATAAAAAAGAGAAATAAACGCTTTATAACTTGATTTTTGCTTTACCAGTGACGTCATATGCAGGCAATAAGGCATAGAATTGCAGAGAGAAAAACTAGGCTCATTTTAAGATGAGAGTATCTTACCTGTCTTAAGCTTTTTAACCAACTCTTCGTCTGATTTTGCTGAAAAAAGCGACAAACTTCTTTCATTTTTTCAAAAAATATACTGATTTAAAGTCGATTAAATAGGGTACATTCAAAAAGCCCCCCCCTCCCCCCTTAGATTACTGCTTAGACATGTGGGAACGAATCAATAAAAAAGATTAAAGGAGAAAATGTTGCTCTCACGTAAAGACTGTTGCGTATTAGCCCTAGCTTTTCAATTTAAAGGCTTAATTGTCAGGGATTATAAACTGTCAGGGACTATAGACAAGACGCTATAAGAAGGATTTCTTCAGCACCTAAGGGAAACAGAGCTACCCAAGAGAAAGACAGTTTAACTTTCTCTGTAAAGGCCTTTATTTGAAAAAGTTTTCTTTCCATCAAACGCCAGCGAACCTGATAAACCAACCAACCAACCAACCAGCCAATAAACAAACAGACAGATAGACAAAAAAACAATGATCTGCACATAAATCAACCAAGAATTATTCATAAGGCAATGTTTTCTTCATACCTTTTTTTAGTTTCTTCAATATATCCACGGCATCAACAACTAAAAAGACAAAAAAGACTATGTAATCAAACCTTCCTTTATCTTATCTTCTAGGCGAAAGACGTATATGTAGAAGGACACAGGCCAAACCAGGCTGGGCGCAGCCAGGTCCGCACAAATCAAAAACAAGACGGGCATCTATTTTTTCAGCGAACCCGAGTATGTTTGGATGATAAGGCCCCCCTAGCTTCCCCGGCTCCACCGTCCCTGTGAATTGCATTACGTGACTGTTTCGGGGACGTTATCACTTCTTTCATTGGCTATTATGAACTTGCTTGGCAACTGGTCAAGATTCCTCCCCCATAACAGTGCCATGATACAATTCGTCACAACACCGACCCAGTCACCAAAAACAAATTAAAATGGCGAATAAATCTTTTTGGAACTGGAAGTACCTTTTGAAAGTTCCAGGGAGGAGTCAAACTTTGAGTTAGTACTTCCGTGGTCTTCGTTTCCATGGAAGTTTGATTTCGACCCATCATCCTCCCCTGACCCGCTTTTGTCTCCATTGTCGCCTGAAGTCTCGGATCTCTTGTTGGAATAATTTCTTGAGACTCTGGGAAACTCATGTGTGGTTTCACCATTATACCCATTGTCGGTCCAGCTCGAACCAGAATCAAATCCGTTAAGTTGGTCATCTTCACCTGCGCCTGATGCTAAAAATAAACAAACCTTTTTCAACAACAACATCAACTATAAAGTTACGTCAGCAGAAAAAAAGACAGAATGTAATTTAGTAGCAACCAACTTTTTTCAATCTAATTGATAAGGAGGTAGGTAGAGAACAAGATATTTCGTGCTCCTTTTGTTGAACGATTTTAAGGAGAGCGAAGTTAAACGAAATTTGGATTACAAGGACGTGTATGTCAGCCAAATGTATTTTCTCAACAAAACGATGATGATAAATAGAAAGCCTTCATTTGGAGTTTTTAATCCCGATAGCGTTACTGATCATACCAGGCGCAACAATAAGTCGACATGTATAATGGGCATCGAGAACATGAGAATTTTAGAACCGGTTTAGCCTACTCATATGCTCAAAGATACAAGTCCTCTCTACTTACCACTATTTCCATTCCAGTCCTCCTCTGCCACTGTGGACCCTTCGCCACTAAATGGCTCCTCATTCTGCCCTGAAGCGTTGGAATGAGCTGACAAGATTTATGTCACTTATCAGAATACCCGAATTAATAATCGTCCCAAATTTAAATAAGCACCCCGCCCAGCAAGTGCCCTTTTGCTCAAGCCAAATCTTAAATTATAAACAGCGCCCCCACCCATTCCCTCCATTTCTTTTCTAAATTTATGAATCGTCAGATTCAATCATGTATTTTTGGACACCATATATTTCCTTATGTAAATCAAACATTACTCTAGCCAGGATCTGGGGAATACAGTGGAGGCTCTACGTACAACCAATCCCCATGCGGGGTGACGACCTATCGAAATTACCCTAACATGTTTTTTCCAGTCAAAGCCCACAGCTGGAATCTCTGGTAGGCTACCACTATATAATCGACCATCAAATCTTTCGGCAGTTTCGATGTAGTTAGATAAGCGTCCCCATTCGAAGAAGAACTCACTACCCTATTTTGACATCTAACAAAATCTAGGCACAGCAATTCTGGGTAGTTATCAAGTGGTTATAGCTATTGATAACTATTCTTGTTCACAGAGTGCATCATTCCCTTCCAAGGGCCGACAGGATAAGAGGGATGGGAGGCTCTGTGAAGTAGAATACGCTGCTTACCTGCGCAGGAACTTGGCGCCAGTCCCAGGACGGCGAGGACCAGCAGGGTGGCATACAGGCTCATCGCCAGGAAGGATTCTATTCGGGGAGTGATGGTTACATAGGCATCGTTTCAAGAGGGAAGGGACAGTTCCACCTATAGCAGTTAAACAGATTCCAGTTCAAGTAAAGTACTGAACCATATTGGCCGTTTTTAGGCTACAGACGTTAACTTCATAAGTAGGTTGAGCATTATCGTCCGGGTGAACGTAGTCCTGAATGGGACTGTTAGGACTACGTTCACGCTCAACTTACTTATGAAATGACTCTTGGGTTCAAACCTTTAGGGTCGGTTATTTAAACGAGGTCTTACTTAGACCGCGGTTTAGGAAATCTTTGGACCTCCAGACCTCTTCCTTAGTACGTTATTTTAAGAAGAGAAATGCTTTTCAAGCCTACGCCATATACTTTCATGAAACTCTTTACGACAAATAGTGTTTAGATAAAAGAGTTGAGCAAACTGAAAATGGCTTAGAAAGCAGTTTTGTTAAACACTGGTTAAACTCCGTTTAAATCACCGGCTAATAACTTTTTAGACGTTAAATTGGTCAAGATGCATTTAACTTCTGAGACGTCGAAGTCGACTGGTGTAAAGACGGGACGCATAAAAGCAAACGACAGCAGTGAAAAGTGGAAAGGATATCTGGTAGTGGGAGAACGCAGAATAAATCTAAACAGCAGAGCAAAGCGAGGAAAAGAAAAAAATAATCAGAAAGTGTTCGAAATAAATTTCTATGAACCTTCTCCTCCGTAAGTTTTGGCCTTTTTTACCGAACCAAAACTATAATTTTCTCAAAAATGAGGATCGATCACAAAAACCCTTGCTCGTTTTCAATCATAGAAATCAAAGAAACCCAAACTAATAAACTTCCATTTTATGCCTCCTTTATCAATTTATTTGTTTGTTTCTTTTTGTTGTGTAGAAAAAGGTCATAGTTTAAGTCAATCTCCTCTTGTAAATTGCTAGTTTTTAAATGAAAGTTTTCTTCGGTTGATTACCTCTCCTTAAAGCGGGGCGGAAATGTTCACACAGGCGTGAAAATAAGTCACATTGGTTCATTTAATCAAAATAACTTGACGATTTTCTCCGAAATGAAGAAAAGGTGATCAATAAATATTCAGTGATGCTCAGTGGTAAACATTTCACTAACTGGTAGCGTGTATGTCCTTTTGCTTTTACGTTCTTTATCTTTTAACTAGTATCCATTTTTTATTGTCGAACACCTCCAAACTATAAAATTTGAACGAGCTGTTGATCACGCAGTTTTAGCAACCAAGAATTGGTGTTAGAGATGAATAGACTAGCAAACTAACCACTTAAAACTGTACTTTCCCATGAATACAAATACAGCCTAATGTCACCAAATGAAGATTTTTTCAAGTACATGTCAATTTGTTTGAAGGGTATGATTTATAACGCTCTTGATTTGTTCTTTTTATTAGGTTTGCAGTAGTATAAAGTGACCTCCCACTTTTCATGGGGCGAGTTAAAACTATTTATGATAGAGTCACTTTAAAAACAGTTCGAGTGAAATACTAGTGTTCAGTGAAGGACCGCAGGAGTGTAAGCCTCCTTAAAATTACAATTTTTACAGACCCTCTGCAAATACGAAAAGTAGCATTCTGGTAAAAGTTTACGTGAAGTCTTTAGTTACACATTGCTTTTATATTTTAATCACTTTAAACAAGGATCGACCTCCATAAAAATTTTCAAGGAACATTAACGGATCAAAACCAAAAAAGGAAGATTTATGGGAACCGGTGGGATGAGCTCTTCAGGAAAGTACTTAGAATTGCGGTTTCGAGGGTTTCGAGAGACAATCAGTTTGAACTGAAGGAAGTGAAGAAAATTTTGCGTCTAATTCTAACTTTTTCTTGCTTGTCGTTACTGCCACCTTTAGACTGACTTAAGCAAATTTATTGAAAGGGCAACCACTAGAACTGCCCCTAGCATACCCTTCGAGCAGAGGCCCTTCTATCAAAGGGCCTCTGCTCCCAGGGTACCCCTAGCAACGCCCAGAATTCTACTACTTTAAGGTCAGTGACAAAGTTTTATCATGAACAGATGAATCATCACGAATGCTACCTTGTCAATGATGTTTCCATGGTACCATTAGTTTCTCATTATTCTACAAAGTGAAGTTGGAGACACTGCTCTAATGACTACTATTTTGGACGTTCTTTGGAAGGAAACGGTCAAGTAGCTTGACAAATCACTTATGACCTGCCGGGACGCTATCTTTTTATGTGGGTAGGCAGATCACTCGCTAGCCACTCAAAATGTGCTCTACAAACCATAATACCCAATCAGTTACAACTGTTCCGTCCCTTTATTTTACTCACTCTACGACATAAGTTCCGGTTATGTTTGGATTGTAACTGGACAGCCTTAAAATAGCACAAATATGGAAAAACTGTTCCCGTTTTAGGCCAACCTTTGTCGTCTGGCTGACTAAACAGGAGCAAACTGTGTGAAGAAATGACAGTTGCATTCTAAAGACGAAAAGTGAAAAACAGAAACCGCGAAATGTTTGCCATAATCTTGAGACGGCCACTAAGCACAGAAAAGATTCCAGTACCAAATCTAAATAGGACCAGTCCTTGAGGTGATGTTTTAAATTACCTAAATATCCAATTTAAAAACTTGGAAATGGCAATATAATGTTTAACTTACTGTTTGCCTGCACGAGTACTCCAAATTTCCACGGTTACCACGCGTTTTCTCGAGGATTAAGCAAGAGAACTTAGACACGTTTTCTTTTAACTTGAGAATTAAGTTGACTCCCGAGAGTTGACTTGGCACACTTGTCCCACCCAAAGGCGTATAAAGTCCTAAGGAAGCGAGCCTTGGAATCTAAGTGCTGCCAAATCAGTGAACACTTTTACATTGAAACGGAGCAAGTTCATAAGGGTCGGTAAATTTGTAGAATGCTTCAAGCATATTCAGGAAGACAAAGAGACCCGTAGGAACCCGTCGTTAAAAGCATTCACCATACAGTTCTCTTTATCAGGTTCACTGGATTGGTGGAACATGTTTGCATTCATTCAAATGGTAAACGATTAACAAAGCCGAGCGTGAAAACATGCCTCTACGCCTAGCTTCAGGTTAAAGTACACCTCTCATACATAACTCCTGACACTAGACCTTTTTCAGTCGTGGGAAGGTTTTGGAGGGAAGCGGTCTGGTTATATTTTAACATTTTCGAAATTCAATTCTCTTTATCAAGTTCACTGGTTTGTTTGAATTCATTCAAATGGTTAGCGACTGCCTCTATCAAATGATTTAGCTTTACTTCATTGAACCTCTGTATAACACACTAGATTTTTTTTCACTTTCGTGGGTATGTTCGGAGAGAATCAGTCTTTTAACATTTTCAAAATTTTAATAGTACCAGCGAAGTTTAGTTGCTTCTTGCTGACACTTTTACGTAAAAAGTACACTGTTAGTGGCACATCCCTGTCGCAATAAATGAAGATGATTTTAATTGGAGCCATGATATTTTCTCAACACAATTCCTGTGAAAATAATGCCGAGTGTCTCACGTTGTTCTTGAAAAAACTTCAAGGCTTTCTTAGAGACATACTGCACACTGAGGAACGGTGTAGAAAGACCTAGAAAGACAGAATCCAGTCTACACGCTACTTATAAACAAACAAAAGTCTTGACGCCCCTGTGTATTTGACCTCCGATCTACCCTAATCGTTTGGAGCTTGGGAGACGGTCCTAGCTTTAAGAAAATAGCGGTGAAATTTAAATTGGGTCTCAGGATCACCGTATTAAGAAGATTAACAGTATTAAGTTGTCTATGACTGCTGTTTATTCAACCATGAAAAATGTTTCATCGGTTTCACTGTGTAGACGAATCAAAGCGAGACCTGTCAATTGCAGGGAATCTCCGAGCAGTACTTTCAACTGGTTATGCTACACTGTATAAAAAGGTGCTACCATTTGATCCTTTGGTTGAAGTCCTCCAAGAATTAATTTTAAAAAATAATTATTGGTTATAGCATAGACAGTTTCTCTGGCCATTGTTGGTTTTTGATGATTTGCAAGATGATTTTTTAGGGTAACTTAAATTCTAAAGTGAATTAGTTCAAAGAGCAAACAATGAGTCGTATTTCATTCTCAAGTGTAATTACTGTATATCAGGGATGCATACGTGTTCTTATCACTACGCTTTCATGCTTCTTTGTTCTATACAAGGCTTGGTAAAAAAATTATTTGGGTAAAAAAAATGATAAGATTTGAACATGACCGAAGTGCCAAATCTTAGGTACCCGCTCTAAGATGCCTATGTTGACATGTGACGTGATCGAAAGACAATCGATATTTGCTAAGCGATAAAAGCAATTTTAAATATAGAGAAAAAAATATTTTTGAAAACAACTTTCGTTTATGTTATAAATATGACAAAAGCTTGATCGTCTACATTGTTCTGTCTCAGTGGCGTCTCATTTTAATGACAGAACTCAACACGATATAGACAAAACTTGAGCCGTGGCTGTGAAATACTGTTCAAAGGGTGTACTAGACGAACTTTAAATTGATGAAGAGTCGAGAATTAATGCAAGAAAATGACTTTTTATCTTAGGCCTCGCTTAAAAACTGAAACAACCAATGGATTTAAAGGAATATTGATACTGGTAGTTAAATCCTTCACGTACTTAAAGTACCAGCCAACATTTGCTAAAAAATCGCAGATCAAACCAACAAACTCGCGCTAAGCGAAATCAAGGCATACCTCGCAAAGCGCCCAACCCTAGACGGTTTCCGTCTCCAACAGTGCCTCTTTAAGGATCACTTTTCCAAGCTTTGAAGATCGTCCAAGAAACTCATAAACTTAATCATGGGTGGTCAGAAAGAACACAGAGGGATTGTTGATGCCTAGTACGCATGAGTGACAGCGCGATTCGAGACGCTCGCAATGATCTCAGCGAAGTGGTATGGCGTTAAGTCTTATTTGGCCCTCTACTGACCCCAGAGCGCAATAAAGCGTCAACCGTGAATTCAAATACTCTGAAAGAGATTTCTACACTTGTTGAACACGCGCCTGTTGTCGTATTGACTTAACTGCTTCGGATTCGTATTCAGTTTTCGCAAGGCAGCAGCCCGTGTAACCAGTTCCTTTGTTTCTCGCTAAATCTTTTGTTTTTGACCACGGAGATGTTAATTCTTACTGCATCATATGAAAAGCCACCTTTATTGAAGTGCGTCAATCGGGTGTTGGCGAAACATATACTGCGAGCGCAGATTTTCTTTTTCAAGTGAAAATTCTTGTCGTTAATAGGATACATTGATACTTCGATCGACGAACTATTATACTGGATTAACGTTAAAAGATGTTCCTTGATATTTTGGATCAAAAAAACTTAACGCCATAAATTTAAGAGCTAAATCTGATGAGAGAGTTAAATAACGTAAAAGCCGCAGAGTAAGTGATTCAAAACCAACTAATTTCAGGGAATTTTTCTTTCGAAATACCTTTGCAACATCATAGTACGTGCTTTTACGTTTGTTTTACCGAGGCGAACTAAATTTTATCTCAACTCAGTTACTGAGAAATACCACATGATAAATTTACCGCTTGGCTTTGTGACGATAAATTTAGGTCCCGGAGCAAAATGAGGACTTGAAAAAAAATCTGAATCGCAAGTTTTATAACAAATATTACGGGGAAGTTTCAAACAAAAACAGTTAATAACACATAAAGTTCGAATTAAGAGTTCATTGTTCCTCCTTGAATCTTCGACAAGCAAATTGTCCAATATATTCAAGGACGCCTTAATGGTACACTGAAATCGTCAGGCGATGACAATTGTGAGTATACTGAATTTGAATCTAACTCGAAGCTTAGTGTCAATACTGTTAAAGTGGTTCGGCTAAATTTGATTTTCAAAGTATTAAATTTTTTACAGTTGTTGTGAACATAGATACTAAAATTGTGAGGATCGATTACCAGGAGCATAGAAAATATCACGAGCATATCAAGAGATCAGCAAATAACAAGAAAACCCACAGAGGTGCTGATAAAGGGGCAAGATATTAATTGTCGTATTTACGTTGAATATGAATTGTTATTCATCTGTAACAGATAATTATTCCGGGTTTTGCTACACGGCGTGGTCCGTGTAATAGGATGAATTAGGAGACGATTTAGCCACCATGAAGCCTTATAAAATACTTATGAATTTCACAGTTAATTCTGATAGCCAAAGCAATAGAGACCAGCATCGTTTTTTAAAATTTCTTTTATTTCAAAATATGGAAATCTGTTTTTTTAATTAGTTGTCGCTTAATATTCTCATTAAGCTATAAATAAAGTCGTAACTATCAAAATATTTTTAAAAAATCTAACCACAACCTTCTGCGTAGTATTTCTAATACCATTTGTCATTCAAAAGTTATGCTTTAGGAAGCTTCGCTGTTTCTGTTTGTGCTAAACTATTTAATACATTAAGATCGTCTGAGGTAAGGTCCCTTTCAGTATCCTGTCTTGGAAGAAGTGCCAAGCGACTGAAAGCGGCCGGTATTGCGCAGTATACTGTGCTACAAAGTTTTAAAAGGCCTCATGGTTTACTGCGAAGGAGTGTGATAGGGGAGCTCATGTAAAGGCGTTTTTGAGAGACGCACGTCAAGAGAAAGAGAGGCCTTTTCCCATTTTTAAAATATACATGACGCTACCAAATTTTTATAGCTAAGTGTATTTACTCTTATGGAGACAGTTTGTCCAAAAAATATAACCAAAAACACTGCCCGGTGAAGTATACAAAAAGTCCACGTCAGGTTGACGAGCGTCGATTAAAAACGTCTTTGCTTAATCTTCCTAATCCTGGAAACGCGATAGTTTGAATCGCTATTGCGCATTGTTATTTACAGCTTATGCCTCGCTTTCTCGTTGTAAGGGGCATTCTTCCACTAGGGCCACATACGATATGTATCATCTGTTTCTCTTTTTCTCTGGTCATCCCCGTCTTAGCATTACTATTTCCTTCTTTGTTTATGTGGACATGATTTTTATTGAAGAAATTTGGCTACCTCCGCCCAACCTTCTTTTTTATGGGCTAAGAACTTTGTGCAACTCTCTTAACGAATATGCCTCATTGAAAAGTGGCTGGATATTTGCCAAGTTCTGTTCTGGCGTTTTTATAGAGGAAGTCAAGGTCCATAAATGTGCCAAAAAAACGAGGCTAATATCCAGCCAGCTAGTGGACCGAACGAGCTTAACCATTTAAAGATTTACTATACGTTGGGCCAATATCATGCCCTATATGATAGCCAACTTAGACGGCATTCGCTTTATCTTGCTCGCCCGCGAAACTAGCGCGAACTATATAATTAGTCAAATTAAAACTCGGGCGACTGGCTTGTCAGGGCTTTCCCGCACTTATGCGTGGGCTGCCGAAGTTTCGAGTTTTTAAAGCTAACTTGAAGTGACAGCTTCTTGTGTTCAATCTAGTCTTGAAAATTGCTCTTAGGCAAACTTTGGGCACTCAACGCCTGCCTTTAGTACAGTCAACTCTAATTTTAACGGACACCCCTATAAGACAGACACCTATAGTAGCTCCCTGATTTTCTGTACTCCTTCAAGTTGACTTTCTATAAGATGAACGCAGAGTGCTGGTGGATCCCACAGGTGTCCGTCTTCGAGGGAATTGACTGTTTTTGAGTGGAGTGCCTGTAAACTAGCTGGATAAGATAAGTGCAATTTCCAAAAGTTACAAATCCTTAATCTTTTTTATGGTTTGAATACTATCTTTAAGACAGCTCCTACTGAAGTCATTTACTTCCCGGTATGAACAAATAAATGCTCTCCTCTACATGGAAAAACCTCTTGAAGACATTAAATCCCAAATAGGGCTATAATCGTTTTCAAAAGAAAAACCCATCAAAACAATCAGACGTCTCATTACAGTGCAAATAAATGATACTATGACTGAATTTCAGGTGGGTGTGATCGAAAGTGAAGAAAGAAAAGAAACACTGTACAGTCAAATCCCGCTTTACCGTGGGAAGGGGTGGGGGCGCGGCCGCGGATCCGGGATTTTTGGGGTGCACCACTAAGGAATGGTGTAACTGAATGGTGATATAAACAAATTTTAATACAGAATGCCAGTTTTATTAGAATGCCGCAGGTCATCTCAGGGGGGTGGGCACCCCCTGCACCCTCCCCCTAGATCCGCCCCTACTTTGAGGGACGACCGCTTAATACGGACACCTCATAATTACAGACAGTTTGATTCGCCCCTGGGGAAGGAAAGCCCTTACTAAATTCACCCTCAGTTCCCGTATTAACGAGGTTTGACTGTATTTAGTGGTAATTGCACAGAAAGCCGATATCTTCAGTCAAATGATTTACTTGCACAGTAGAGTTCTCCTGATTTTCACGACTACAAATACCAAATATTAGCTGAGAGGCTTGAATGAACAAGGCTCCACCGTTCATCGGGATTTTAGAGAAGGAACCACAGACCTGAGGACGGCTATCGTTTTGATTTAGGGGGCCGAAAATATTAAACTCGAAAGACAAAGAAAGTTTTAAATTTTTTAGTAACTAGTTCACATTAAGGTTTTCATTTTTTGCTGCCACCTTTCATTACACAGTGTTGCCGACAACAATCTCTTAGCTTAGTGGCACACAATTATACCTGTCCAACGGTCAGAGGTTTTGCTGCATCTCTTTATGCGTGCTCAGTTTGGGGGAAAAAAGTTCTACACCCGACCATGCTTTCATTTGTGTTTCGGACGAAAAATTGCCAGTTTGTTACAACGGTATAATGAGGGCCGAGTACGGAATAAAAAATGGATTAACGAATAATTTTATCAGCCGTTTTTAATGAAAGCGAACTTAGAGACAGTGAATTGCAGAGAAATCTCTTTGGCTCAAAATGAGCGGGGTAAAAGTGAATAGAAATTTCAAAAAAGATGGTCTGACTTACAAGTTCTTCCATGGAAGATTTAATCCCTTGCCAATCATTTTTTTCCCCGCCTAAGGTGTTGCATTGGCACTAAATTGCGTAAACGGTCGATATTGTTATCACACTTGGTTACCTAGCGAGTCAAAATGTCTGAACAAGATTTATTTTTTAAACGATGTATGGCAAGAGGAATATGGAAGTCATTTGAAAGGAAAAGGACTCGGTAGTGAAATTGACGCCCAAAGTAAGCTATAGTTGTGTAGAAATAACCAAATGGAATAAAACATAATCAGGCATTTTCAGAGGAACTTCGCCACTAAACCTGGGTCAAAACATGCTGTGGTGATCAATTTGCCTACGCCGGACTGCAAGAATTATTGTAGAGCAAATACACAAGTAGTTTTCAAAGAAAATTTCTGCGGTTAGTTAACATCAGATGTACTCACCCAGTCAAAAATAATCGTTGAGAAAAAACATTTGTGTTAACTGTCGACGTTAAAACTCTCCGTGTATTGTATGTGGGCTTCCTCGCATCCACTAGTCACATGTTTAATAAAACTTTGCTCTAATTGTTGTCTTTTTCTTCTTAACTTCTCAAGTTCTTCCATTAGTCTGGAATTTTCCGCATAAAGCTCTTCAACGGTTGTCGCAAGCCTTGATTCGCGTATAAGTTTTTTCTGACGGCATTTCCACGCCGCTAAACGATTCTTCTGCTTTCTTCGCTCCATTTTAATGAACCCTTGCACATTGATGTTTTCGCCAGGTATGTTTGCGTCCGCTTGAGGTTGTTCTACTACGGTGTCTTCCTCCTGTTTTAATACAGACATGTTATAGAGCTTCGTATGGACTGCGAGCCAATGTTTTGGTGTTGGGGCATTTTGAATAAAGCTGTCTTTCTCGTAGGTCCATTCACCTTCGGTTCCAACGTTGTCCTGCTCGTGGACGCCATTATGAAACAGCTCCCTATCCTCTGCAGCTTTAATCTCGTTTTCGAAATCCTCATAACGAAATTCCTCAGCATCGGGACTGTGGGCTGAAGGAGAATTAAAGGAAGGTTCATCTGAATCTTCTTCGCTGGACGGATTAAACAGACCATCTCTGAGAGAACTTTGTCTTTGCCCAGAGAATCCTTCCTCCAAAGTCTCCACTTTAAACCATTCAGAAATTTCTGAGCCTTCGAGCGGCTCCCGTTCACAAGGCGAAAATCTGTCCACCTCTTTATTTTTTATTGTACCAGCCAACCTAACAGGTAAAAAAGTCTCTTGAAAAGACGGTAAGCGGTGAAATGAATCAAATCTGTAAGAGATGAAAGTGCATTTCGAGTCGGCGTCAATCACTTGGATTGATTCATCTGCCGGAGGTGTTTTGGATTTGCGTGCTTGGCTTATTTCTCTTTCTTCTCGCAGACGTTGCAAGGCGTCGGTAAATCCCCTGGCAAACACTTCCTGTTCCGCGGTAACTTGCTGGTTCGTAAAATCCGGCTCCTGAGGAACCAAAAGTTGTGGTGCTGGAGGCGAATGGGATTCCAATTTTATCGAGCAAGTCTCTGGGAAATTTCGCCACACAATCATTTCGAGGTCTGGCGACGAAATCCCTAGGTCGGGAGACCTCAACAAATCAGAAATATCAAAGTCTTCTCGTCTACCGGGAGTTTTGCAATCATTCGCTAAATTTAACCATAGCCTACCATTGTCTTGTGTGTAGGAATTTTTATTTGGCAACAAGAAGCTTTGATCTTCATAAATTGTTGCTTCCATGTCACGCGTAGAGACGCTGAACAGTAGTGAGTAAATCTCTGCTTGACGGTATTCCTTAATTTTTCCCTTTATGGCTGCGTTAATCAGGTAAAACCAATATTGGTATTCTGGCTAATTTCCTGACGTTTCGTTTGATCTGAAGGCACGTGGAATACAATTGTTCCAAGGGAGTCAATGGGGGTATGCGTGGCAGAAATCTTGGTAATCCTTTGTTATGTGCAATTGAATAAGCAAGTATTGTGTTTTCTGATTGGTCAATTAAAGCCGTGACTGGTAGCGTATTATGTCTCTCGCGTATACAGCTGCGTGGCTTTTCCATTGTTTGAAACCTTGTTGTAACGTAAAAATGTTCCAAGTGACCTGGGAGTCAAGAGTTTACTACTTAAGCAATTTTAAATCAATTTATTGTATCATGTCGTGTGTTTATTTTAAGCCCCCTCTCATTTACCAAATGAAAGAAGTTCGCTCACCACCTAGCATTTAAAAACGTGTATTCGATCATAACAACGAGAAATTATTTCACGATCATATATATATAACATGTATTGCGGAATGCCGTAATAAATGTTCTTAGATTTTATTGAAAAAATTGGCAGTCTTTTAAATAACACCGGTATTTACCTTGTCGTGTCACCGCTCACTTGTAACCTCAAATATATCTTTTATAATAAGGAAATAATTGATGTCGCACATACATAGTCCCTGTAACAAAATGCATACCAGTTTCTTGTTTTCACTAAATCCTTTTATAAATAAAGGTTTTATCGTAAAAAGGTTGACTTGCATAGGACTGATATGATCAACTCTTTTCAACATTTGTTTTGCACAACTCGTACACACTCTTTTCCTGGCACTGAAGAAGTTTCTAATATTCTAAGTTTATTAGCCTCTGAGTTTCGAAGTTTATTAGCCTCATTATATTAAAACCTTCAAAGATGAAATTCCTCCGTATTTCGGATACAAAGATAATTCCACAGTAGAGCCGTAAAAGAGAACCGTACGTCCCGGGGGTGGGGGGTACTCCCATACATTACCTATACGGGTATGTGCCGCCCAAAGGGGTCGTGATTTTGAAGCTTTTGATTTAGAACGGGGTATCCATTTCAGAGGCGTTTTCTAGAACGGGGTATAATATTTCGAACGCACGAAAGCTCCACTTTTGTAAGCAGCCATTTGAAAGTGTTCAAGGACAGATTGCTTTTAAAAATACGGTTCAATGCGTTAGCAAGCAAACCGTTGTACTCTTGTTGCACCCTAGAACGGAGAATAAAAAATTGGCCCATTTCTAGAACGGGGTATCAGTTTTAGGGCGAATCCTAGAACGAGGTATTAAAAAATTGGCCTATTTGTACTACGGGGTATCATTTTTAGGGGAAAATTTTTCTAGAACGGGGTGCCAATTTGGAGTCCCGGGCGGCACATACACACCCAAAAAATACCCAAGTGCCCCCCGGGCCGTACGTCTGGAGCTGAAGAACACAGCAAGGTTAATTTCTAACATAAAAAAATGCCAAACTTTGCTCAGAACTTTATTCAAATAGGCAGTTATTTTTTAAAATTATATTAAATTTGTATTCTTTTAAAAACTGCAGGTTACCGAAAGAGTAATAGTAAAGCTATGAACAAGTTTAACCTGTCAGATAAGGGCTGAACGAGTAAGAGCTTGAAAATATGTTTTTGCCGGAGTTAGCGATCAGATGACGTACAGCTTTGTTTAAAACTGCATCGTCGGCATTTTTAAGTAGTTGTATTGTACGTCATGCCTGTAAACTCACGGGCTTGCGGTCCGCCCGAAAGGGTACCTTTTTCAGGCTTCAGGTAAATGAAAGGATAGGGAGTTTCTGGGCGGGTAAGCTCCCCTGGGGTTCCCGGTGTTACGGAGAGAGCGGGAGAGCTTGCTCGCAGGATAGGGAGGGTAGGGAAATCTCGGTCTGTAAAAAGGCCAAAAAGGGCTAAAAGATGCAATTTATGGCTAAGAAAAAGTCGAGAAACGACGTTCTGGTTTTGTGATTTATTCATATTTCAAAGACATTGCATTTACAGCTCTTAAAAGAGATGCAATGTTCAAAACTGGTGAAGTGGAAGGGGTACGATTTGTCAAATGAATAGAAGATATACGAAGTGCAAGGTGGAGCCACCACTGAATTGAACTAACTTCAATAGAAGTAACTTATAAAGCAATACAGTGGAGTCTCCATTTAGAAGACACCCTAAGAATCAGGGTAAGTGTCTCCTGAATAGAGTTGTTCCTTCAATAGCGTTAACTGAAGCAAGATTATATCAACTCTCCTTTTGGCAGCAAACTTTGTGTTCTTTGAATGGACTTGTGCCCTGAAGATAAGTGTAACAAAGAAAGGAAAGGTTAATGTTTCGTATTTTTGGATGGAGCTGCGTTTGTGGCAGGTGGCAGACTACCTTCTTGGTGCTATATTTTCGTGGGTCTCAAATTTCGCGTTTTCTGCGACAAAAAAATCGCGAAAGTAAAGACCTGCGAATACAGTTTTTCGGTAAAGTGAAACACGATCAGTATTGCCTTCAATCTTAAGTGTTGGTCTTCCTTTCTTGATGCTGACCTACACCAAGATCCGACTTTGACCAAGATCTGTTTGAAAAGTGATCCTTGCCATAATTGTTCGGAAATTTAACACCAAATATATATGGAAAATTCAAATCATAAAAAAATAATGACAAACATGTAATAACAACTTTATATACAAGATATGTATCAACAAATAGAAACAATATTAACTGGCTTTATTAGAAAGTTTCATGTTGTATCTTCTGTTGTGAAATGACGGTTTAAACACACTAAAAAGTTAATTTTCAAATATGTGTTCTTGCTTGTTCTTGTTACTTCTTAGATGCATTTTAAAAGTGTTTGTTCCAATTTATTTAGAGTTTTAAAAAACTTCAGACTTCTTGAAACGTAAAATAAAGTTGAGAATGCTTGAATCGCGAAATTTAATGCCATTTTTTCATAGTTGCCCACTGAGATTACGAAAGTATAACCCCGCGAAATTCTGTCTCGCTACAATCGCGAAATTGCTAGGTACCCGCGATGACGTTAAGTACCAACATAGCAACTTTTTACTGAATTTAATTTGAATCGCACTGGTTGACGTTTCAGCCATTTAAAGGTTTCACTGTTGATTGGGTCACAATTCTTCCCCCCAAACCACAAATCAGTCCCAAGGGCAACTGTTGATACCACACTGACTCAACCGCTCACTAAAGAAAAGACGATAGTAGCCTGTGATCCAAAGTAGGGTTTGAGCTTTCATGAGATCATTTAGTGGAGCACGAGCATCAATCGCCTATCTCGAAATATATCATTAGGCGTAATTACTTCATGCCTTTAAACACAGATACAGGTGTTCTCAGAAATTTCAAACGGTATAACGGTATCACGTTCACCCAAATTGTCGATTCCATGCCACCACTTTCCTCCACTTCATTTCAAAGTGAGCTATTACCGAGCGACCATACAGTTAAACGCCTTGGTTAGCCAACACTCGTAGTGAACGCCCTTCAGAGGGCGTTGTCTTAAGGGAACCAAGTTTCAACTATACTAATTGTGTGAGTCAGATCATAAGTTAGTAGAGGGGACTATGGTCAGTTAATGCCAATTTTTGTTCATTCAAAATATTTCCTCGATTCTGATTGACTAAAAGCACACGCAAAATTCACCATAACCAGCTACTGATGACCAAATTTGGAAGAAGTTTGCGATTAATGAACCGATGACGTCAAAAGTGCAGCTTCCTTGCAGGTTAATGTACCGTTAATCGAGAAGACCCTGGGGACGAGGTTGAGTTGTTTTGGTTGTGATAACAAAAATGGCGGACATTTCACTCGTTTCAAGAGTAAGAACTAGGCGAAATAATAGCTAAAAACACGGCAAGAACAACACGAAGACAACTCGAAGGGCGACATCTGCTATTTGGAGAATATTTGCGGAGCTGAACAACCTTAAACATGCAGTATCGAAGATGAACTTAACATCGATGAAGGTAAGCATGTTTTAGCTATGTTTTTAAACTAGGAATTATTTTGAATGAATAATAAAACAATTATTGAATTCGGCTTTCGTATCATATGAAGAATTATGGAGATCTCGGAGGGTGTTATCCGTCTCGACCCACGGCCTCGACGGATAACACCCTCCTCGATGTCCATAATTCTTCATAAGATACTCAGTCTCATTCATTAATTGTTAAATATCATCGCTTAACAAGGTGTAAATCATCGTTAACTTCAGAGGCGTTTTCTGTTCGTCCGTTGAAAACATAAAATGCAAAACGGACACGATTGAAGCTGATTGAATAAAGACATTCAAGGTGATTATACTCGATTATACAGGATAACAATGCCTGAAAAGCAATTAGGCTTTTTATTTTCCTGCAGGAAAGAAACGAGGGGCAAAGGTCGAAATATATTTCAACAAACTAATTTTTTCAAGTGGATGTGGCGTGATTTCTCGAAGCAAGAAAGTCAACAAATGATAAAAATAAAAATTAAGATTCTTTTAAGACTGACGAGAAGAACAGCCCGCCATCTCGTGGACTCGTACGTTACTCCATTTCAAAAGGTTTATACAGCTGTAAGAAGGATGAAGGAACGAGCTGAATTTAGTTTGAACAAACTTACCGGGTTAATTCTTTCTTAATTACAGTTAATCATAAGTAGCACCATGCACAAGTTCTGCCTAAAAGGTTTCATTTGAATAGTAACACCACAGCCGGATTTTGTCCACAGACTCAATAGGTAGAACAACATACTAAATAAATAGTACCATGTGAAAGTATCGCCAAAGAGGTTTCATTTGGCATCATTGGGTTTCGTCTACAGATTTAAAAAAAAAAGATTAAAAAAATCGTCTTGCAATAACTTGGAGCCTTTAGTCTGTAACCTAATCTGCAGCTCAAGGCCTGATGAAACTGGATTATTTCTTTTTAGAGTTCAGTGGAACCCGCTTAAATCAAGGGAACAAGTCATAGTGT